AGGATATGGTCATGACTTGCAATGAAATATTCAATACAATTACATGGCTCATAAGGATAACAATACACACAATTAAGGTCTCCCCAATGTAATCAACCTCACATCTCAGTTATATATATTTATCTATATTTCTTAAAAGGCTCACAGAACTTCACTTAAATATCTTACTGAGTGACTATTACTGGGTTTATCACTAGGGCATGCTGGTGTAGCATCTTTCTGATCACAGTAAAATGATTTGACCATGCAGCCCAGCACATAATCAGAAGCCTCATTTGTGGCTCTACAAAGTGTATGTGTGTGGTGTGTGCCTTCAAGTCATTTCTGATTTATGGCGACCCTAAGGCAAACCTATCATAAGGTTTTTTGGCAAGATTTATTCAAAGGAGGTTTGCCATTGCCTTCCCCTGAAGATGAGAGTATGTGACTTGCACAAGGTCCCCCAGTGGATTTTATGGCCAAGCTGGGAATCGAACCCTGGTCTCCAGATTCATAGTCCAACACTTAAACCACTACACGACACTGCCACTCCCTAGAAGGGAGCAGAATCCAAATGGGAGAGCATAACAGCACTGGAGGACACTTCCCATTACTCTTTACTCCATACCCAGGCCCACAGAAACATCAAGTAAAAGGCCTCCCCAGTGTAATTCAGCTCCAAATATAAGAACACTTACCTACAGAAGCCATTGTCAGAAGCACTGAAATTACTAGAAGACTTGAGCTATTACAGTCAGCCTTCCATATCCAAGGGTTTTTTTAATCCATGGATTCAACCATCCATGGATTGAAAATATTCCAAAAAATATAAATTCCAAAAGGCAAACTTTGATTCTGCCATTTTATATAAGGGGCACCATTTTACTCTGCCACTGTATGAAACTTGATGGGACTTGATCATCCACAGAGTTTGGGATCCATGGGGGGGTCCTGGAACTAAACCCCAGTGGATACCAAGGGCCCACTGTAGCTCTAACTTCATATAAGAAGGTCAGGGATAGAGGAGGAAGACAAGAAAAGTTCTTCTGGGGAGCCTTTGTCTTGGCTGCAGTTCTCCCTTTGTACATACAATACCAACTGTTTTGTCAACAGGCTCAGTGACAGCACTGCCAAGCTCAGAGTCTGTAGCATACTAACCTTGCTGTTCAAAAAATGCAATTCTTTCTCCCCACTACTCTAGCCAAAGCAAAATCAGCACTGGAGAGAACATAAGGAGCACAAAAAGGAATGGGGAAAAAGAGCTGAATCAGGATGCATGACACACATATTTGTAGTAGCTACCTTTTGTCTTCCTCTGGGCTTCCAGCTAGAGAAGTCTGATCTGGAATATGGCCAACATAGCTGATTTCTCTGTGTACCAAAAGAGAATGTCTAGAAGGAAATTTCTTCTGCTCCATCCTATCCTCTGGGAGAGGTTGGAAAATAACTGTAGTGGGCAAAAGAGGAATGGAGACCCTCCGAATATCCAGGAAAGTAGAGTTTATTTTTACGTCAACAGACTCTCAGATAGGTCAGCCCCATGACTTGAGAGCCCATTGACGTAAAAATAAACTCTACTTTCCTGGATATTCCAAGGGTCTCCGTTCCTGTTTTGCCCATTACATTTCTGGTGTATTGGCTAGGAACGGAGGTGGCATTAGCCTGCCCTTTTCTGTTACCCCGAGAAGGAGCTGCAACACTCACACTCAAGTTCTAGGCACCACTAACCACTTCCATTGGGAGAACCTGTGGAGCCTGTGTTGAGGCTTCCTAAACAGGAGTGAGTGCAAAGAGAACCTTGTGTTCGGATCAAGAAACTGGGTTTTCCCCTCCTTCAAGAACAGGTGAATATGAAGGGATGTTGAATAGCCCCACCCTGTAAGGTTAGAAGGGCCCCCCAATCAACCCTCGAGTTATCCTGACTAGCCAGAGCCAGAGGGGCACTGGTGAAACTCTAGGAAACTAGGAAAAGGAGGGTGGTAGGACTGTGTGTGTGAAGTGAATGAAAACTGTATGAGTGGCCACATTGGTTTCTGTTTCATGCTGTAGGAACATCCAGGTGAACAGGCATGTGACAAATGACTGGTGTTTTAACCTTTTGTGTCGACCAGTGAGACCACTTACTCACTGGCCACTCCCTTTCCCTTCGTGTCTCTGTCTCATTTAGAGGGTGGAAAATGGGTGGCAGTGGAACCAAATGTACACCACAGAATTGTATGTTAAAGAATTTTAAGGAAGGTTTTAATGGGGATTATGAAGGAAAAAGAATGACCCCAGGAAAATTGTGCACGTACTGTTTGAGGTGGAATGGCCCTAATTTGGAGTGGTATGACCACCTGAGGGAACATTAGACAAAGAAATCATTAGACAGGTATATTTAGGGGTTGTAGGAAACTCCAAACTGTGAATGCCCAGACTTGGGAAAAGGAACATCTTCCAGAGCAGAATCTCAATTGGGATTATAATCAGCAGGGTGGTTACTGACAACTGCAGCAGTATCAAGAGTTATTGTTAAAGGGAATGAAGATGGGAATGTCAAAACCTATCAATATGACTAAACCTGCAGATGTCCTATAAGGACCCAAATGGACCCCCAAGTCAGTTTTTGGAGAGACTGTTAGATGCCTACCATCAGTACACCCCTATAGACCCTGATGATCCAGAAAATAGGAAGCTGATAAGTGGGGCATTCATGGTACAGAGCAATCCTGACATTAGGAAGAAGATCCAAAAGTTAGACAGGTTCTTGGGATCCTACCAGTGGCTAGAAAATTAAGATTGTGGGGGCCACTGGAATAAACCAAGGTCATCATTTATTTCAACCATGAACCTGTAATATAATCAGTCATCAAGTCACTCATCAATTTTTATATATCCCAGAATGTCCCATCCCATTGATGGGCAGAGATTTGTTGTCCAAACTAAGAGCTCAAATATCCTTTGAAGAAATGGCACTAGTAGTGTCCAATTTTGTAGGCCAGGTGTACCAAAAAATACTGGCCATCGCCTGTCCAATGAGGTAAGAATGGTAAATTCATCAAATATTGGAGGTAAAAGAGAAAGATGAGATGTGGAAATCCTTTGATGTGCCAGGAGTCTGGGCTGAAGATAACTCCCCAGGAATTGCAAGATTTATCCCACCAGTGGTGACAGAATTAAAGCCAGGAGTGATTCCAATTCATGCTCGTCAATACCCTATACCCAGAGAAGTTATCACTGGGATGCAGAAACACTTGGACAGGCTTCTCAAATATGGAATTCTGAGAGATTGCCAATCTCCATGGAATACTCCTCTACTACCAGTACAGAAGCCAGGGACCAGTGACCACTGTCCAGTTCAGGACCTGAGACTAGTAAACCAAGTTACAGTTATTATTCACCCTGGGGTCCCCAACCCATATGTCTTAATGGGACTGATTCCATTAGAAGCAACCCATTTTACCATTTTGGATTTAAAAGATGCCTTTTCTGCATCCGCATAGCCCCACAGAGTCAACCTCCTATCATTGTGTATAATAACCCCAGCTGGGAGGATTGTCATATTTTATTGAATATCTTTTTGTTTCCTGAGGAGAAGTGTATGGTTTGTCCAAAGACAATAGATATGGTCCTCTGTCCAGAACATAATGTTTAATTAACCTTAGGCTGCACTGGAACAACACATTGACTCTAAAGATACTTTGTTTTTCTTTTTGGATTTGGAAGATGTTTCCTCATGTGTCTCAATACTAGCACTTGAGAGAAAAGAGGCTGTCAGCAGGATAGCTGTCCTGAAAACTAAAAATGGACAAAGGTCTGAACATATCTATCTCCCAGCTGGTACAGATTACCTATAGAGTTTACTATAACA